ATTCCATGTGTAGTGTTCGCGTAAATTTAAAAAATCATTACGTAATGTTTAAATTATAAATAACAGAATAAAAATTGTGTTGTGTAATGTTTGAGGAGAAAATTGTGCCATAAAGATCCGTAAAAATGGTTTGCATTGTATAAAAAGATTTATAGTAACAAGTCAATCGGCAAAAAAATATAAATCGTGTTTTTTAAAACAGACAAGAAAGTGTAAACTTTGCCTTCTGTTTCTTTTTTTTTTTCATATTCTTACATTGTCATACGATTCTGAGCTATGTTCAAAATTTCAAGTATCCAGCAAGTATCGCGAATTGAAGTTTTTTTTTATAGGAGAGGGGGAAAACGAGCATACATATATACTACTACTGATACAACTGTAGCATGGCTCTACCTCGTACAAAACTTTTTTATTAACTCGCTTTTATGTGGTTGATTTAAAACTTTAATAGCGGTAGAGCCACGCAGCAGTCTTTGCTGTGGCACGTATGGGCTGGCTCAAACAGGGGTGGTACTACGACCTCACAGAAGACTGGCGTGAAGTAGAAGCTTTGCTTCTGCAGTTCCCCCCCGCCCCTCCTACAAAATCCACCCACCCCTGGGCGTGGGTGTTCAGGGTGCCCCTCGTGTTATGGGGGGGGGGCGAAATTCCGCTCGAGACTAAACTCGCTCGGGGCAAACGGAGCAACAAGACAAAGGCGACCCCTGCTACGCTATCCGTGGATTTATGCAACATCAGGGGACTTCATTCGAACCTTAACGCCGTCCAATACCATCTCGAAACGGCGAAGCCGCCTTGCTCTTTCTAACCGTGACATAGGTGTCCTCTCCGGCTGATACTTCATATTTCTACTACCTGGGGGTACAGATTAGAACACTCTTTTGTGCCCCGGGCTGGAGTTTGCGCATACTTCAGAGAGAATATCTGTTTTAGACGCCTCGGCAGCCTTCAAGGTACGGACCTGTCCATCTTCTGGCTACGTGTAGAGAGCGACGATCATGCCCGCGCCTACGGGTGCCTATATAGGTCCCAGAGCGGTAACCGAAAAACCGACTGATCGACCACGTCCAGATGGTTGCAGACTCCGTGCTACCACAGGTCCCATTCGCAGAGATCGTCATACTTGGTGATTTAAACGCCAACCATGCTGAAAGGCTTGGTTCTCGTTTAACCTTCTGCTGACCTCTCATCCGGACGGATATCGTGTCTCCGTTGATGCCCCTCGGCTTCTCGGACCATTGTCTGATTCGGAGTACGGTGTCACTCACGCTCCCATCTCAGTTGCGTACTGCAGGTTGCCACCGTGTTTGGCATTATAGGTCAGCCGATTGGGACGGGATGTGATCTTTTTTGCATCCTACCCTTGAAAGCGGGTTTGCTTCTCGCCAGATGATCCCAGCGTTGTTGCTGATTCTGTCGCTGATGTGGTGCTACAGGGAATGGAACTATTTATTCCATCATCTGTGGTACCTATCGAAGGCAGAAACCAGCCTTGGTTTGGTCGATTCTGCAAAATTGCATTACGTTATAAGCAGGAGTGTTACCAGGCCTGGGCTCGCGCATCGACGTCTTGGAATGTTAATACCAGCGATCTTAAAAAGAAGTATAATTCTGCTTCCAGGTCCTTCAAAAATGTCATTGTCAAGGCAAAATCAGAGCACATCGGCAGAATTGGCGAGAAACTTGTTCGTCTTCCTTAGGAAACACGTGCACTCTGGTCTCTCGCCAAGACTGTCCAAGGGAACTTCTGCCAGCCATCTCTTCCGTGTCTGCACAGGGAGGATGACTCACTGGCCCATGCCGCAAAGGACAAAGCCGATCTACTGGGCTCTCTCTTTGCGTCTAACTTGACTATTAGTGACGACGGGCACACACCGCCGACTATCCCGCAGTGCTAGAGCTCCATGCAGGATGTGCTGTTTACCGAACGCTCGGTGCGCACAGCACTCCTCTCCCTGGACATCAACAAGTCGAGTGGGCCTGATGGCGTCCCTCCTATTGTGCTGAAGACGTATGCTCTGGAGTTGGCACCAGTCTTAACGCGTCTTTTCCGGTACTCCTACTTCCTAGACGTAGTCCCGAAATCATGGAAGACAGCCTCCGTGCACCCGATCCCTAAAAAAGGTAACCGCTCTTATCCGTCCAACTAAAGGCCTATCGCCATCACCTCCTTGTTCTCTAAAATAATGGAATCTATTATTAACAGCCAGCTCATGCGGTACCTTGAGGATCACCAACTGATTAGTGAACCGCAGTACGGTTTCCGTCGCGGTCGCTCGGCTGGTGATCTTCTAGTTACCTAACTCATAAATGGGCTAAGGCAGTAAAGTCCAAAGGGGAGGCGTTGGCGTTAGTTTGGACATAGTAAAGGCCTTCGATCGGGCTTGGCGGAAAGCGCTTCTTACGAAGCTTCCTTCCTATGAGCTTCCCGAGAAATTGTGGAATTGGATCACCAGTTGCCTTGCTTATCAGAGCATCAAGGTTGTAATAGACAGTGCATGCTCCAATTACAATCCCACTAACGCTGGTATTCCAACAAGGCTGCGTGCTATCACCAACGATGTTTCTTCTGCATATCAATGATATGTTGCAAATCGGTAGCATTCATTGCTATGCAGACGACAGCACTGGTGATGCTTTATACACCGGCCGTGCCAATATTTCTCGAGAAAACGTCGCCAACTACCGGGACAAACTTGTGTCTGAAGTCAAGACTTTGTTGAACAAAATCTCGGACTGGGGGTGACTAAATCTAGTCCAGTTTAATCCCCAGAAGACACAAAATTGCGCGTCTACCGCTAAAAAGAACCCCTTCGTCGTATCTCCTCAGTTTCAGGGCACTCTCCTTGTTGTCTCAGCCAGTATTGGAATCCTTGGCGTCGACATATCGAGTGACATGCAGTTTCGTGGTCACTTGGAAGAGAAGGCCAAATGGCCTCTAAAAAGACGTGCTCAGCAAGCTTTTGTGTGCAAAAAAGATTGCATCCCGTCCCAATCGGCTGACCTATAATGCCAAACACGAGCAACCTGTAGTACGCAACCGCGATTGGAGCGTGAGTGGTCCGTACTCCGGATCAGACAATGGTCCGAGGAGCCAAGAGGGGTATCAACGGAGGCCTGATATTCGTCCGGATGAGAGGTCAGCAGAATGTCCAACAGGAAATGTACATGATCTTTCACATCTGAGATCCGCGTAGGCAAGGTAACCAGTTATGTCAGACCATATGCCAAAGCAGTCATAAACATATTTACCCGCATGATCGGTTAAATAAGAACCAAGCCATTCAGCATGGTGGGCGTTAAGATCATCAAGCATCATGATCTCTGCGGATGGGACCTGTTGTAGCACGGAGTCTGCAGCCATCTGGACGTGTTCGATCAGTCGGTCTGTATTGGTATTATGCTGCTATGGGACGTATATAGGCACCCTTAGACACGGGGATGGTCGTCGCTGTCTACGCATAGCCTTAAGATGGACAGGTCCGTACCTTCAAGGCTGCCGAGGCTTCGAAAGCAGATATTCTCTCTGACGTACGCGCAAACTCCAGCCCGGGGCACAAAAGAGTGTTCTAATCTGTACCCCGGGTAGTAGAAATATGAAGTATCAGCCGGAGAGGACACCTGTGTCTCGGTTAGAAAGAGCAACGCTGGCTTCGCTGTTTCGAGATGGTAGTGGACGGCGTTAAGGTTTGAATGAAGTCCCCTGATGTTGCATAAATCCACGGATAGCGTAGCAGGGGTCCTTTGACTTGTTGCTCCGTTTGCCCCGAGCGGGTTGAGTCTCAAGCGGAATTTCGCCCCCCCCCCCAAATACGAGGGGCAGCCTGAGCACCCACGCTCAGGAAGAGTAGGGGAGTTTGGGCGTGGATGCTTAGCAAGGGATTCTCCCTCAGCGAGGGATTCTTCGTCACCGGGGGGTGCTGGTATCCTCCTGCGGTAGTGATATTTAACTTCGCTACCATGTTAGGGGGGGGGGGATTGGGCCTCCGGCCACCTACGCTCACCAGACGAACTGCAGAAGCAAAGCTTCTACTTCGCGCCGTTCTTCTGTGAGGTCGTCGTACCACCCCGGTGTGAGCCGGCCCATACGTGCAACAGCAAATGCTGCTGCTTGGCTCTACCACTGTTAAAGTTTAAAATCAACCACATAAAAGCGAATTAATAAAAAAGTTTTATACGAGGTCGAGAGATGCTACAGTTGTATTAGTAATATAGTTGTAGCACGAATGGTTTGACTCGACCGGGGAAGGACCACGCTCTCACAGAATACCAGCGTAAAATAGTAGCTTAACGCTGCTGCTATGTTTCTTTAATGCTGCTGTGTTTCGTATGGTGAGTGTAGAGAACCGGAGACCCTATTTACTGGAAACGAGGCTTTCTATCTTAGTCCAGATGACAATGCATCTGCATTTTGATTCGTAATCGAGGAAAGATGTAAATGTCTATGGGCCGCAGCAACCACTTAACATCAGGTGTACTGTGTGCTCGTTTGTCACTCTATACTATTAAAAAAGTCGTAAAATAGTGACTCAAAATTTAGCTTAGTGTCAGAAATAACTTAATCTCTACATAGTATAAAACAAAGTCTCTTCCCGCCGTCTGTGAAGGCTTAGATCTTTTAAACTACGTAACAGATTTTGATGCGATTTTCGTCAGTGTACCGAAAGATTCAAGAGGAAGGTTTATATTTAATATATGCATATTATAGTGGAGAAAAGGCGAGAATTTCAAAGATTTACCCGGCAGGTGGCGCTGTTGTTGAGATTCAAAAACCGCCTTCCGTACACAATTCCGTAAAGCTTTATTAGTTAATAATATTGAGTTGTATTATATTGTCAGTGGATCCTTTTCCTTAACTGTAAAATGCCTGACGCACTCTTATTTTAAAGCAGTACAAATGGTATTTAAGCCCACAACCTAACTTGCCGATTCTCTTAAAAATATCCTTAACGGCATTAACAAAAGTGTCCTGTTTAAGTAAGCAATAAGCGTGTGGTCCTTTATTTAATTTTTAAGGGAATCAAAATGCAGATGAGGTTTTCATGGTCTTCATTCTTCAATTCCCATTTGGCCACGGCTCTCACTTTCGGGTACGATTTCAAAATTGGCAGCGTCATCACGTAACTCGCTTTTTGACCGGCCTGGAAAATATCAGATAAATCTTATGTAATTTTATTTTAAGAGCATATATTCAAATTTTAAATATGCGCAAGTCAAAATCTACGCGTTCGCTTAGGAACGGCGTAATATTGACGCCCATTATAATGTTCTCTCTGTGTGCGTGACTGTAGAAGGTGGAGTGGAGAAAAGAACAGTACCTACAACTGATTGCGGAAATTAAATTGTGGAAGAACTTTCCCACAAGACTTTTACCTTTTATTAAATGTACATATCTAAACAGCAGAACCAGCAGTAGAAATACAGACTAGGGAGGTTAGAGAAAATTCGGGACATTTGACGGGACATTGTGAATTAACACGAACACGACCGGTGCCGGAAAAATCCCCGCCGGCTGTAATGAAATTGTTAATTGCAATTTGAAGTGCTCATTTTTTCGTGAGGAAACTTGCATGTCTGAAAATAAGAAAAAAATGAATATTTCGAAGACATGTTAAGTTCACTAACATGCATTGAGACAGCACGGCGGTCATTTCCTTGCAACGAAAATGAATGTCTAGCCACTTAAGTCTTGAGCAAAATTGTGGTATATGATTAAACTTACGCAAGCCAAAAATATAGCGTATGCACAAGTTGCTATGAAGTTCTCAGTTATATTTGAATAAGCAATTCCATTATATTTGACATTATCCTGATGAAGTCCCGACAGAGTGGCGAAGCTGCCATTAAAGCCGAAAAGCCGGGCTTGCCTTATTAAACCTGAATCAATCAATAATATCAATCAATAATATTAACTAATAAAATAACTCGTAAAATGTTTCAAGCTATTTCAAATTTCCCGCGCACTCCACTGTTCGACACATGTCAACCGATGACCTCGTAAATTGCCTTAGCGATACTGCTGCTGTCATAAAAAATGAGTTTTAATAGAGCTAATAGTTGTCTCCCTCGCTCGCGTGGGCTTTTTACGGGGCTTTCGAGAAGACGATCGCTCTCTTTCTAACCTATGGCAAAATATTCTATAGTGAAATATAACTACGATTGTATATATAGCAATTAGTATAGAGATTTAAAGCTTGCGCCCTCCTTTCTGCCAAGGAGGGTCGCGTTCGTATACGGCTTAGAGATCTCTAGTCAGATCGTTAAGCCAATTCCTAAAAGGTTGGGTTTAGTGGGTAAAAGTCACCACATAACCACGCAGCCGGCCGCGTGGTATGCTATGAGCATTCCCAACCTCTCACCCCCGCTTTCCGGAGGGTTGCCCATATTTGCTTCGGGCGAAAAAAAATAAAAAGATTTAAAGCCAGGCTTTTGGGAATAAATTTGTTAAAAGCGGAGGCGCGCGGGCAATACGTTTGCAAGTTCATTTCACGTTTCAATGTTTATTTACTCTGTGTGCTTATCTTAAGCGATTTAATATTACGAGTTCAAAATTTATGCTTTTTAAAGATTTTTAATGAAAATGGAGGATAATAGTGTTCCTTGTGATGAATTGAAGTGTGTTAAAGTGATAATCGGAGAGGAAATCTTTAAACTTTGTTGAGATACACAAGGTTAAGAGTGTATTTCAGACTTATCAATTATCTCAATTAAAAACAGTTATTTGTACAATTAAAACGTTCAACAAAATTTTACGTGGACGTAATTAAATCTTTCCATAAGAAAGCGAGACGATTCCACTTATCTTATCTTATCTCTTATCCATTAGAATGTAAATATTTTTTTTAAATTTTTTACATAGTTTGTTTGTACTTTGTTCGTGTTTTACTTTTGTTCATGTATTGTATTGGATGTAAATATTTCTTTTCTTTTGCTTAAACAAACCCAAACGGCTTTCTTCAAAGCCACCGAAGCTATGCAATTGCTGATATGTAATACAATCTATCTAGCAGTGGTATGCCTTCTGTGTGCTTTATTAAACACGTCCTTGACAGCACTGAATATGAAACTGAAGCGTGGAGACAGATCAAGATTGGTGTATTTTTATAATACTGCTAAAAAAACAATCTACCTATATTCTTATCAATTTATATCTTGGGCTTGCCCTAGCTTGGAGCTCTAGCTTCGCCACTGTCCCGACATTAATGTAAATGAGATTAAAATGGATGCATCTCAAAAATTGCCCTCCATTATTTACCATTAAACCATCCAAGGACCCACTCAATCGCAAAAAAAAGTTCATTAACCTTTCAATCACAATAAAAATCCCATGCAGTCGGATGCGCCCGTCAAATCCCGAGCGGTCGCATGCGACCGCATCCACCTACAGCATTTAAAACCATTAAAACTTATATTTAGAGCCTATTTTTCTATGAAGATATTTGGCATTATAAAATCTATACAAAATTCCCTATTCTGTGGTCTAAACGAAAGTCGGGTTTTACTTCATTACAAAAAGATTTTATTGTATTTTGGTAACAATGTCGAATGTCGGCAGCGTGAAAATCACAATTATTTCAATATATATTACTCGAAATTATTTACCTAAAAAGATAAATTATATGTACGCAAAAACTTTCATTACAAATAATAAAACACTATACTAAAACTCTAATAAACACTAGAAAATCCAAAAATCAACATGATAAAATTCACGCGAAAATGGCGTACGAAATGAACGTAGATTATAAATAATTGTCCATTAGATAACTGTTTTTTTTATTGCATTAGAAGATAGAAAATTTCATATTGATTCTATAATGCCAAACTTCTTCACAGAAAACTAGTCTCTATATATAAGTTTTCATAGGTCAAGTGCTCTGGGTGGGTGCGGTCCCATGAGACCATTGGAATTTGACGGAATATGGCCGTGGTCTCATGAGACCGCTAGGGGATTGAGAGGTTAATATCGTTCGAGCCGTTTTCAACTTTTAGCGAGACTAACGAACAGGAATTGATTTTTATATATAGATAACACAATATTATGTCTGAAATAATGTGTTCGAGTAAACCAGTCTTTCCTAAAGTTAACTTATTAAAAAAAATTAATTAAATTAAAGTGGGCGATAACGCCCACTTGTGAGCTTTGGAGACCTAGGAGAGGGGCGTTAAGGGGCCCAGAAAAAAGTGGGGGGCTTTGGCGTGGTTTAGGGGTGATGGTTGATTTGCAATTTTCATTTTGATATTTTATATTTTAAAATTTACTAAAATTAAAACCTACCTACTACTCAATATCGAATATCTTTTAATATATATAAAGTACGTGTCACGTTGTTTGTCCGCGATGGACTCCTGAACTACTTAACCGATTTTAATTAAATTTCCACACCGTGTGCAGTTTGGTCCAACTTGAGAGATAGGATAGTTTTATTTCCCATGATTGACCCACAAATTTTTTTTGCGAATTTAAGGATTTTTCACAGGACATGACAAAGGATCGTCGAAAAGGGCAGAACAACGTCTGCCTGGAAAACGAGTTAGTTTATATTTCTCCCCTAAATGATGGTATATAAACTAGAAATACTTAACATAGATTTCGTAGGATAGCCCATATGTCGTACGCAATCAATTTGTAATAAGTTTTTCCTAAATAACACCATTGGTGGAATTCGGTAGCAATCGGCTGGTTCATCGATACTTATCTTAACTTGCTTAGAACAATTGAGCGTCGAAAAAGATAAACGAGTTGGGCGTGTTTGTCTTATTCCTGTCGGTGCGTGTTGCATTTAAATCTTATATAAATGCTCGTAATAGTTTTTCATTGGTGGTTTCGCGCGTAATCTTTGAACAAGTATTTAAGTTCAACACTTTATTTACATACATATTTGTAAAAACAAAGCCATGTCGGAATCAAAAAAGAAGAGATGGCAATATAGTGCAGAATATTTTAAATATAGATTCATAGAAAATTCGACAAATCCATCTTGGCCTTTGTGCCATTGACTTATATATTACTTTGCTTTCTGCCTTCATTGTTCGAAAAAATTTTCTAACGATGCGATGGAATCTTCAAAACTTCAAGATCATTTTAATAAAATGCATCCAGATAAGAAGGACAAAAATGTAGCCTATTTTCAAGAACTGGAAAAGAAGCATAATGCTCAGTCAAGTGTATCAAAACTTATTTCGGTGGCTGCTAAGCAAGACGATGATGGACTTCGAGCTTTATGCAATATCTCTTTGTTGATTGCTCAAACAGGCAAACTACATACCATCGGAAAAACGTTAATTTTGCTGGCAATAAAAGAAGTTATAACCACTGTGCTTCATAAAACGGCGGGAAATAGTTCTGTACAAAGACAAATTGATGAAATGGCTTAAAACATTGAAGATTCTTTGTGCAATCATCTGACTAGTTAATTTTGAATACAGTTGAATGAATCCACTTTAACAACTAATGAAGCATTGTTGCTGTCTTACGTGAGGTTTATTAAAGATGAAAAAGAACTAATATTTGCTAGAAATTTAGAGACAGACACAAAAGGAGAAACCATATTTAAAACACTGGAAACATTTTGAAATGAAAAGGGAATTCTCTTGAACAATATTATATCAGCTGCTACAGATGGTGCTCCAGCAATGACGGGGTGTCAAAAAGGCTTCATAGCGTAACTTCCGATGTGCTTGCTGTACATTGCGTTACACATCGACAACATTTAGTTGCTAGAAATTTAAGTGAATGACTGTTTCAATCATATCAACATGTCGTCAGAGCAGTCATTAAAATCCGAAACAACCCTTTTAATGACCTTGATGAGATCCTTTTCTTCACCTCGGCGGCAGCGCGTGCGGTAGGAAAGGGAAGGAAGGAAGGAATCAAATACGCACTAGTCATTTCGTTATGTTGATAAAGTAGATATGACTTAGGGCGAACTCAATGCGATATGTAATGTAATATTGATAAAGTAGTTTGTTAACTGGCGTTACCATTTCCTCCCGCCCTTAAAGGGTCACCTTTAAAAGACAACCGTAATATAAAAAGAAAAAGAAACAATAAAATAAGCGGTATATAAAGTGAGAGGATGCGCTCAATGCGCATTTCTCATCTACTAACATTACTTGGTAAACGAGGAAATGTATACAT